GGGGGGGGGGGGTGGGGGGGGGGCAAATATGCAGAAACACGCGGGGAGCAAAGCACGGTCCAGGGGGGACCCTACTGCTGTCTCCCCGATGCGCAAGTGCTGACATCGAAAAGCAGGTAGACGGTGTTAGTGTGGCAAGTGTGCTCAACCTTCACAACGCCCTTCCCCTCTCTCGCGGACACCCGAACACGAACACAAGACGGAATAAAAAACAACACAACAGCGCACTGCTCTGTCCCATTTGGAGCACGGGAAAAATAAAAAAAAGTAGAGAGAGATAGTCTCCTGCTCTCTCTTCCCCTCGCGCCCTACACAACCACGACCGAAAATCTAGCGGTCTTCATTGACACCGCGGCGGCAGCACCAAAAAGCGAACACCAGCCACAACAGGTACCGTCGAGGCACAAGCTTACCCAGGAGAACCCACAGTATACACACCGATTCTCTCTACTAAACCTCTTGGTGACCCTTCTCGTTCAGCCACGGGGCCCTCAAGCTTAACGCCTCCTCGTGAAACCCGAAGTAACACAAGGTGGGATCCCAAAAAAAAAAAATGGCAAGCGCGGAGGAAATTTCTCGCGGGAACGTCCATTTCATTTCGCTCGGACCCAGTGAAGTCCGTTCCCCATTCGCGGGAAAAAAAAAGAAGCAAAAAACCAAGGTAACGGCGACCTAGTTCAGCAAGAGATTCCAAAGCCTCACTCGCAAAACAAGGACAAATGCCCTTTTTTCTTTCCGTCGTGTGCCCTTGGTCACACCGCTCGACAACCTCCCTCCACAATCCCCCAACCCTGCTCATTCCCCCAAACTTGCAGGTTGTTGTTGGGATCCCGAAACACAGCGCACACCATCGCTTTTCACCCGCCTCCTGTGGACCCGTTTGGGCGCCATGAGGCCCCGCAAAACCCTCCGCCCCCCGCCCCCCCCCCCCGGCACACTCAAAGCACTCCGTGGATTATCCCGGCATGGTGCTGTAGTATACAGTGGTGACGAACTTTTGTTTGTATCGCTCCGTCATCCCCAGCACCATCATGCCGTCCTTTATCGCCGTGCAGTACAAGTGATTCAACGCCTGTGGAGATTAAGACACCACGGGTCCGTTGTTAACTGTGGTTGTATCGAATGGTAGATGTTAATAGCCGTTGTCGATCACTGCTCTTAATAGCTGCTGTGGCACACCAGCCGTCTGCAACCAGCCCCGCTGGTCATAAACCAGCTGCAGCCGCACGAAACACATGTACGGCCGCCGAGAAAACGCAAAATCGTCGCTGACAATACACCCACACATACGAACACTTCGCGCACCCAAGATGTCTACGGTAGGGGACGAGCGGGGCATGGGGGTGGGGTGGGGGCGGGGTCGAGATTTGCCGCACAAAACGCCTCACAAGAATCGCCTCTAAATGCTTCTAGAACCGCTGCGGAACAATCAAAGGCTGTAACAGATGCCGTCTTGTCAAAGCAGCGACTTCTAGAACCGCTACAGCAAAAAAAGGAAAGACTCTCTAACAGATGCCGTCATGTGGACGGTGGCGACTTCTAGGACCGCTTCATAGAACAAGAAAATACCCTTTCGCAGATGCCGTCAAGTCAACGCAGCCCGGGCGAGGAATCTCAAGAGAAGGCACTCACCACGTGCTGCGGTACCGGCAGCGCGGATGGGTCATTCGCAGGCGGGTTCTTGTTGAGGATGATGTGCCTAAGGTGGGGTGGCAGCGGCGGCGGTTCCTTCGTGTACTCGTCCAAGTCTGGCGTGCACTGGCTGTATTTATCATTCGCCTCCAGTTGCTGCAACAGGCGGGGGCGGGGGGGCAATTCCGCGACAAGACAACCGTAAGAAACAGCAAAAGAGGAAGGCGATAAAAAAAAGAAAGAAAAAAAGAACAAGAACGAGGGCGCGGGCAGTGGGCGGATGCACAACATGTCATCGTGCATGTATGGACAAAAATGGAACGACCACCACCAGTGTGTGCACGCGGGACTCTTCGACATTTCGGCTGGCAAGGCGGTTCTCATCCATGACAGCAAGGACACGCGTCGTTCTTAGTGTCATCGGCCTTGGCCCGTTGCCATCCCTCTACTCCTGCCTGCACCTCGTAGATGGAACACCTCAGAAGCAAAACGTCCCCACACGTGCCTGCTGGTTGCACACACGACGGGCGGAGGTTGCGTCTCGACGAAGAAACCAGAGTCGGAAGAAAAAAACGCGTTCGGAACGATCATACCAACCAACTCTCTCTGACTGCAGGGCAATTGCATGCAAAAATCCTTGGCGTGTGCGGAAACTAGGAACACAACGCTAAATTCGTACGAACCAACTGACTGGACCGGGATGTTGTGGTCCTCCACGATCCCACAATATCAGCCCTCAAGACTACAATAACCGATTGTCGCAGTGTGGCGGCTCAGCCATGACGGCGCGCCACTCGCTTCACGCAGAGATAGACGTAAGCACCTTGGACACCTACCGAACCAAGATTTCGAAATGCCCTTTGCTTATAACCAGCACCAACAACAGCTCCCCTCCGGTCCCTAAAAAGCATCACGAGCAAGATCAGCAGCGACACCACAGCAAGCGTCACGGAAACTTCATCCAAGCATGAATCAGAAACGCCTTGCTCATCATCAGCAGCAACAGCTCCCCTTCAGTCCCACCGGCAACGCCAACACAAAAAAAAAACGTTTCGGTTTGGCCAGAAAATGAAAGCCACAAAACCGCGCACCTTCAGCCGGTTCGCCTCGAAGTTCTCCTCTCCAGTGTAGCCCACGAAGTCGCTCACGTCGATGAAGTTGTTGACCCTGCCCTCTATGTCCGCTACCGTCGGCTGGTCCGGCGCGAATCGCCACTCATCGTCGACGATGAACTTGAACGCGTGCTTCCCCTTCTGCTCGCGCACCGCCATGAAAAAAAAAAAAAATCAGGTCAATCAATGATGTTTGCGACCATCTTCCAGATGGTCCCGATAATAGTGCCGGCATGGTTGACCCCCATCATATCGGGCACCGGCAAAATTCAAAGTACAGAATGAACATGGTGACTCAGTCTGTACCCGCCGAAAACACCAGCGCTACATCGGGACCTCTACACCTCTACTGCAATTCGTCAAGCGGCCGAATGTGATGTGGACCCATCCTGGTGCTATACCAGAGCACATCATGGCGGGTAGAACTCACTACACTAAAGCCCATACGTCCTTCCAAAACCACGAAAATAAAAAATACCCCAAAAAAAAAATCACACACTCTCTTTCATGCGTTATAGCATAGGCTGGTTCGGGGGGAGGGACAGGTGACGTCGCCGGAGTGGCGAAGTAATCGAACAACAGACGGAATTCGCGTTTATGGTGATCCAGCAGGTTTTGGCAGAATCGACTGTGTACAAGGAAGACAGAAACGGCGCTCGAGAATAAAAACAGTAGCCTACGGAGTTTTTTATTAAGCAAACAATCAAGAGAGTATGGAATGGGTAGAACTTCGGAGGTGAACGCAGCCTCCTCTCTGATTCCTAGAAAAAACTCGATTTCTTCGTGTTGGCAGTCCAATAATTCACGATCGCTTTCGACGGGCGTCATCTCGTCAGGTTGTACGAGGGTGCCTCGTAATCGCGGAGGGACGGAAAGGTTGATCGTCGGGAACGCTTCGATAATATATTATGGCCGCGAACACCCCTCGGCGCAGGGGGGCACTTCACGACGGGGGGCTTGCTTGCATCGCCGCCCTCTCGCTGCTTCTGAACAACATTTTCAATGAGGCACATGGGTGCTTGCCCTAAGGGGGTCCCTTACACCCAAAGTGAGTGCAACAGGGTGTTCGCTCCCGGGACGGGCCCCCCGTGGCTATCAGTACCCTTCGCAGTTTTTTTCTCAATTTAGTAAGCATGATGGACAAAGCATGCAATCGGGGAAATTGGGTCACCGTAATTGTGCGTGGTATCGCACCCCCGTGTCAGCGTTTTTTCTATAGCGTATTTCTCCACAACCAGGGAGGTATCACCTCCGAAAAGCGTAGTTTTGGAAACATCTCGTGGACGGACTTCCGGAGAGGTATCGGTTGGTGTTCGCACCCTCCTAGTTGTGGAGAAATACGCTAAATAACACGGGGGTGCGACAACACGCACAATTACGGTAGTTAGGGATAGGGCCTGAAGCTGGGTTATGGATAGGGTCTGCGTACCCCCCCCCCCCCCCTTCCCTGTTCAATTTCCTCATATAAAAATTCCTGCGAAGGGGGGCCGTGCCTATCGACGGTCAATCAAAGTGTACACACCAGTGCCGTACAGCGCTACACGTGCGGATAGTCTCACATACACCGCTGCTGCGCATCACGGTACGATGAGGTCATCCATCCCCTCAGGCAGAAACGTACAGATCGGGTTTTAGTGGTTTTACAAAAGGCCACACGCATGGCCCATGGCCCCGGCCCCGCCCGCGGGGGTACCCTTCCCCTCACCTTTAACGTGTGGATGTAGGTGAAATCGTTACCGCTCCTATGCATCGGGATCTGCTTCTCCCAGTTGTTGAACGTCCCTGTAATGTATACTTGTCGGCCTCCGTGCTCCCATCGAAACACCGTGGGCACCAACTGTGGGGGTTTTCGTCGAGAGAGGGAGGGGGGATCCAGAGGGGGGAAACACCCGGGGGGGGGGGGGGGAAGGGTCCAGTTGATCCGTTGCCTCGTGCAAGTCGTTTGACCACATGCATGCCGTTCCAAAACATGGAGCACGATGTTTCTTCTCAACAACGTCAGGGTCATGGCAACGCTCTCGGTATAATGGTCGTAGCAGATGAATCAGCGTCGTTCGCATTCTCACGCTGAGGCCTGCGTTGGAAACGATTGCGAAAAGGGGGGTGGTTATGTAGACGGATAGTTCGAACGCCAGAAGCCGCCCCACGCGGCTCCGGCGAAACCAGGCCCGGCTACAGTGTACGACTCGGTTCCAAGCTTGACGAAACACCTGCCTTTAGCCCCCAACGTCCGATACCGGGTTGAACCTCACAAAACAAACTCGGGACCATTGGCAGGATAAAAGCAGCCAAGCAAGCAACCGCACTCACTTCCTTCTGTACTATAATAGCTCAATAAGCCGGCAAGCAGTACGCACACGAAGAGCAAGTCGCCAGGCAGCAACCTCTTCGTCCAGTACTAATAAGATGTACCGCTGTACATGCTCCAAGCTCACTCAAAACAGCAGTCTGGAAACCGCCGCGGTGGGTTTGTGAACGGCTTCTTCGGCTACAAAAGTTATCGTCCCCACAGGTAAGGCTGACTGACGCGTGCTCATTAGCCAAGGAAGTTGTTGGCGCACTCGATGACAAGTAAGAAGGAAAACCGAACCACGACAAGAAGCCCGACGGGAGGGGAGGGGCACGGCGGTGACTACAAACACACGCATTGCTGCTGTGCCCCACACTCAACAACACACAGCAGCCAGTTGTTTGTAAAACTTAAGCTTCCACGCCACATCAGACTACTTAGCTCCCTCCACATCGGACTCGAAGTGAAGAGCGTTGCACCACACCACAACGGTATCACATCCACCTTGATCGAACGCATATGATACGTGAACACGAACAGAAGCGTGTCGGCACGGCATCGCATGCCGTACAATAGGTGAATTCAGATATCACACCCCCTTGCCCCGATTTTAAAAGGTCGATTCCTCCAAAGCCGAGAGAAAGGCGTGAAAATGGCGGCGTTGGAGCCGTCTATATAGTCAGTTTCCCCGTATCGTTTCATGCATCCGTCCTCTTTGTCGTGGAGTAGTCGAGAGGTGAAAATCGGTCCATGGTACGTGCGTTTATCTCTTGTCACCCATAAGGTATAGCTGTAACACAGCAGACCGGTGACCCACACCTACCGCCGTACAATCCGGTCGCTGAGCGCGCACACAACGAACGAACGACAGCAATACGAGGCTCCGACGGTCCTGCTGTTGCTACCGTTAAGACAATGCCACGTACTTCTACAAATAGTGTTCCTCAACAGCAGCAAACGGCTTCTGTGCTGCCGGCACGATGCTCGGCTGCGGCGGTGGCTCTTTTCATGAAAACCCTGCTCGGCGGCGCGTCAGCAGCAGCAGTGGCCCACTGGCAGCAAACAGCGCACAGCAGGCGCGCGTGCGCTACCGAATTGAAAAAGACAGCCCGCAGCAATAAGTTGTCCCCAACGTGCGTCGCGCAGGTTGAACAGCGGCACTTGACTGATCTACCCACAAGACCAGGCAAGGGCAGCACCAAGTGCCGTGTACATGGCCAGATATGTTGTCGATGAGCATTTTTTCAACGATGTATGGATAAATGTGTCCAAGGAATAATCTGAAAATCTTTTGAATAATCTTGGTTTGTGTACAGGGGGAGACGAAGGGACACTCAACGTGGTACACTGCTGCTGTGATTTGATGCATATGCATACTCCGATATTTCGCATGCAACGTGTGCTGACAACGCGCCCACGCTGTACACCTCAATTGTACAGCAAGAGGGTGGCGGCAAGGGACTGGGGTACGTGTAAGTGGCAGATTGCTGTGAAGTCGTTGTCACAGCAGTCCCTGCTGCTTGCTGTATGCCGCCGCTGCTGCTGCCAACCTGCAACTTCGCCAGCAGAGGCTACCAAGACGCACTCTCATTGCAGAGGTGACGCAAGCAACACCGTCAAAATTACAACACTCTCACCACGATCGGTGTACTACAGTAGTAGCCAGCAGGCTCGGCAACTGGACGTGTGCATAGCAGCAGCAGTCCACAAGGGAGGACAACAGCAGCGACGTGAGCTTGTACATCGTTCCGTCATCGCTGACAAAATAAACGCTAAGGCAGGGGGTGTGCTTGCTCATTCTCGTCTCTCTCACCTCTTCCTCCTCCTCTCCCTCGTCCGCCTTGGCCTCAACGTCCATGGCGTCTCCCGGCGGGCCCTCGGCCCCCGGCCTGGCAGTCCCGTCTCGAGATGCTACCCCGCCGTAGAGGTGCCTCCGTCCGTCTCCCATTGGCACGGGGGGGGCGAAGGTAGCGTCCGAGAAGCCTCCAGGCGCGCCCGCCGCTGTTCTCGTTTGTTGGTAGTCGCTGAACCCGCCCCCCTCCCTGTCCGGCCCTCCCTCGCCGTCCTTGGAGCTGTTGAACTGGGAGTTTCCCATTGTCTTTCACCACGGGGCTGCCTGACACGGGCGACGCGCCCTTGCCGGTTTGGTTTGCTCTGCTGCGCCCAAAAAAAAAACGAAGGGAGCTCTTGTTTTTGTAATTTCCGAGGAAGTTCCCCCCTTCCTCTGTTGAGGTTGCGGCGGTCGCGATGCCACGCACGGCGAGCACGAGCCGGCAGGGCTGGTGCTGGGGCAACAGCAGTGTGTGTCGGTGGTGCGTCAGCGCGTTTCGGTAAACGGTACTGCTTTGTGTGTGGGGAGCAGCGTCGACCAGCACACGCGCGGATTTTTTCTGATGGTCAACCCGCTAGCGCAACCGATGTCCGGTGCATCCGGTGCAGGCTCCGTCACTAATAACGCCTTTCGCGAACATGGTTGCAGCCTGTTGTTCTGATAAAGTAATTTGAGGGAGTTGGGAGTTCCAGCTTCGTGGATCCCCGGTCCCCTACCCACTCCCCCCCCGTTTCGCCATATTGTTATGCTACAAGTATCTCCATCCCCCCTCCCTGCCGGCACTCATTGTTATCTTGTTGGGCTGGCTTTCGGAGAAGAGACGAGATCCTGACACCCCGGTGGTTCGACCCAACAAAAACCACTGCCACGTGTGCACCTGGGGCGGGAGGCAAAAAGGCAAAAAGAGGAGAGAGAAGAGAGCTGATGGATGTGCGCACACCTCACGTAGACTGCTGTATGCATGCGATGCGTAGCACAATCTCTGCGTATCTAAAAACCTGTACGACAAGTTGTCGTGTACAATGATAACTCCGCACTCGTTATATTGTGGCACAGCCCGCCTACCATTTCTCCACACTACGATACTTGAAGTATGCAACAAGTAGTTGCAGCAGTACTACGGCTGTGTATGCTGCTGTGTACAGCAGTAGGTAGTAGTACGTGCCGCCCGGAAAAAAATTCGGTGCAGGAAAAAGGCTTCTTGAGGTTCACTTTATTCGAGAGTAGCTGCTGCTGCATTCACACGTCTACATATATGCATGTACAGTAGATACGTCAGTTTGGTGTAAGAGTCTACACAGTCTAGACTTTTGTCCGGAAGGAAGGTGTATGTCCATGTCAATGCGTCGAATTTCGTCGGAAGCGCAACATGCGGCAGAAAAATCACAAATAATTTCTAGGCTCTATACGAGCGACCCAAGCTCTAACGGCGCGAGCTCAATGGAAACCGTTGTCGTTGTGCTTACAGCGTCATTGCACATTCCTGACCATTGGGATTTCGTCAACTCAAAGGGGTTGTGCTAGAGTCATATCCTACCTGCGCCCCTTTTTGCTGCTGGCATTCGATGATCAGTTCAGCCGATCCACGACGGTGTCGCGTGTGGCCGCCGCTACATGAACAACACATGTTGTTTGGAATAAATATAGTACATGCACTTGATGACGTTTCTTGGAACAAGCAAGTATCGTGGTCAGTCAATCTACGCCACGCCCTCTGACTTCCACCTCTCTCAGTAGTACTAGTCACTGCGGTGTCCATCGAAATGTTGACGATCTGATTAAATCACTCTACGAGGTACGTCGTATCTCGCACCTTATATCCATGGCCTCAGATCGTAGCTACAATCTACCATAATCCGATTCAACCCCGCTGAACATCACCCCCCGGTAAACCGATTTCACGTGTTTCCTCTACAGGCTAGGAATAGAGCAGTCTCTACCCCTCATCATGCCGCAATCAGCGACGCCTGCAGGTTTCTACCTCGCTCAAGCGACTGCTGCGACGGGTGCGCAAGGCGGCCGGGGGGTCGCTCAGCCTTGACGGAAGGCAACGGCAGCTGCACGCCGGTGACGATGTTGTAGGACCGCCTGCCGCAACCTTCGTCCCACAGGGCCTGAGCACGGACGCGGGGGTCCGACTTCGGGATCTTCTGTCTCATCCCAAGGATATTGATGAAGGTCTCGCTCCGCGCGTGCCCCATCGCGGAGGGCTGCTGTCCGCGTGTCATGTTGTCGCCAATTCGGCTCCCCGCTGGAGGCACATCGGCGCCGCAGGCCTGTCTCGAACCCTTTCTGGTCTAGTGTGCGATTGAAGCGACGAACAATCAAGGAGGAGCAACGTGTTCGGGGTTGCAGGCTCGGAAAGGTGCTCCCGCAAAATCATGCTGGTCACATGATCGGTGGCAGGCAGGAGCACAACACCTACTACATAGACGAGTGCGCCGAACAGTTTTTTCTCTGAGGGGCGAAGAGGGGGCGCATCGAAGGACGGTCGAGGTAGGAACGGTAGCGACCGACGTTGTTGAGACGAAAGGGACGGGCAGTATCGTCTTGAAAACCCGTTACGACTTACCATGTTACAACGAGATAATCCATTAGCCTGCTACATTGCTGTTCTCTACCATGGAGGTACCAAGAAGCGAGACAACTGTAGGAAGCTACACAGGTTTATGGGAGCAATCGCATACGTAGAGAGGTGGACAGCTGCTGTGCTTGCCTTTGTCACCACGACTGCTTGCCTCCCTACCCACCTTAGTCTGCAAGAAGTGCTCCCCGCCGTTTCCCCCGACCTGTTTTATCGCACCCCATCCACCACCCTCAGCGGTCACCCCTCCGAAAACGCCTTGTTGGATTCCGCCTCCGGCCGGGAGATCGGGGTGCTGCCAAGGGTCGTACCCGAAGCGAGGTCGGGGATCCCCCCGGATGTCGTCCAGACGATGCCGTCGTGCAGAGGCGTGGGCGGATGAAGCCGCCTGCCGGCCGAGAGAATGGGCAATTGCACTCGTTGTTGCTCATGATGTTGCCCTCGCTATGTAACCGTCGTCTTGTCAATAATTTGCGTCACTGGCATGGGCTACGTCCAAAGGGAAGGACCGTTGCAGACAACTTGTGTTAGCCGCCACTCTGTGCCTAAGGCGTCACTCATGCGTTTTCAGCACGAAACGTCAGAGACCATCTGTAAAATCCAAAGGAATGTAGTTCCAGGGCACCAGGTGAAGTACATCTAATACCGCCCTGCTGCCTTAAAGGCCTCTGGTGGCAGGCAAGAATTGAGTGGACCCTAACGATACTCAGAAATGAACCTCCCAAAGAGAGGCAGCAGGCGTGAAATCGCTTGCCATGAAATCTTCCTCCGTAGAAATAATCAAACACCAATTATCATGGTTGAGCAAAACAGCTATCAATAGAGGAGATCCTCTACGAACACCGGACGAACGCCCGATAGTTTTTTCTGCTGCCTAGGCAGTACAATAATGGACGGGAGGGGGCGAGGTGCCAGGCGTATCGAACCCTACAGTTTTAGTTCATACCTCAAAGAGACGTTGTCCCATGCACCTCTGATCAAATCTCTCGCGACACCGTGACTACAGGAGGCAACAACAACGCACAGAAAACATGTAGATCGCTTGAGGTATACTCTCTTCAGCGACGCCTTTCCTTTTCACTCTTTTACCTCCTTCTTTTCCCTGGTGAGCCTCGTCTCAGCGTGAACCTCCGAGGTAGGGTTTGACGGAGAGTCCACGCCTATGGCACCCTCCGGGTAGCGATGCTTCAGGATGAAATCAAGCCTGTTCGAGGGGAAAGAGGCTAAATCTATTGAGCTAGCTTCTTGCTTTTTTCGTTATCGTTACAAGAGAAATGCGGGAGATCGCCTCGTTACGATCTCCGAAAGTAAGCGAGGGTTGAGGGGGCGGGTTTTCGTCATAAGTATTGGCGGTTTCCTTCGTTTTGTTTTCGAAGACCAGGCGTCCCATGTAGAGTTAGGGTTACGGTTGGGGGTTCACGGTTTCCGTTGAATACATCCGTTTGCTCCTACGCGCGTACAGATTGTCGTCGATTTGAAGGAAATTTGATCACCGAGGCCTGGGCATCTGATACACAGGACGATGGTTTTCGGTCCAATGGTTGAGCAAGAACGCACCCCGAAGCGGTCCATTTAGTCGGTGCGATTCTCTGGTGTGGGTTGAGGGAAATTGTGTCTCTGCGGGTGTGTTACTTTTGCTCTTGCGTAACCCATGGTGGGAAGATTATCTGCTCAACAGGTAACTTGAACTTGCCTCCTAGCTCTAGATGTGTTCGCTGAGATTGGCAAATGAGGTACGTAGCAGCCGGGGGGACTACATTGCTGAGTGAGGCAACACGTTCTCGTCGCCCACGCGGGAGCGCTGCTGGTGTTCCCACGTCTGAAGAAATCAACCCAAACCATGAAGACGCGGAACGCGCTGATGTTTCGGGTGTGTCGTCAAACGCACGGGATGATTCTGGGACATCGTCGCTAACCTCGTCTTTTGATGCCTGGCTTTCCGGCCGACCCTCTCAGCGTTCTGCATCTTCGTGTCGTAGTCGTTGATCTCCCGACGTTCCTCCGGTGCCAAGAGGGCGCGGTCCCCCTGAGGCCCCGCCCTAGCGCAATCCGGGCGTTATCCGCAGGGTAACACGTGCAACGTTGGGAATAGCAATTTTCTGCGTGGCTGTTATTTGTCCCTTTTCTTCATCTAATTGACACCGAGGTACACAGCTCGGGCACGAGAACCAGCGTTTCCCCAATGTAGACCCAAGCATGAGAACAAGTGCGTGAATGCAAAGTGTGCTGGTCAGTTTCAATCGCTGAAAGTATGGACCAACCGATGAGCTGGAAACAGTGATAGCCTGGCAGGGCGGTTCCACGATAGCTCATTGGGGGGGGGGCGAGAGGGTACTGGTGTTCGACCAGCCTCCTGCTCTCTCATTCAATCAAGCGAAACATGTCGAAGTCCGGCGAGCAGTCGAAGCCTCGGTTGTGAAGTCATACCTGAGCTTTCGTGCAGTGCTGGCCAGGGCAGGCCAACCAATAATAATTGTCGCCCCACACTCTGTAACCGCTGCATAAAGGTTTGAAACCTAGACGGAGGCACTTGAATGAGCGTTCTTTGCGATGGTTTCGCCATGTGGACTCCGATTTTCCGGGAGGTATCTAAGCCAAGCGGCTCTTTCTCTAGGCCAACTGGATTCAAAGATAAAACGGTCACATTCCGCGGCAAAACCGCTGCTCCAGAGCATTAACTCGATTCTTAATTCGTAAAACACGTTCCTAGAGAAAGGTATCTGGTTGTTCTCACCGACTTAGGCACGTAGGAGGGCGGACGGCTTGAACTTTCGGCACGACTGCAAGCGCGGAATCGAAGAACGGTCTCTCCACATTAACGCCTCCCTAAAGCGTAGAAAAACGGGTGAGAAAAGGAGTTCGCCTTGTCCGAAAAATGAGGTTGATTGACCAACCCTTGTCTCGATCGAAACCGGAAGTTCCTCCGAAGATTTCTGACTTAGACGACGAAGCCGCACTAGTGCTACACGTGACCTGTTAAATAAGATATTTTGCACTGTCATAGATGATAGAAGGACAATACGGAAACGCGAGAATCTTTCCAGACCGCGAGCAAACCCCCTCGCAAGGAATCTGATTTCGCCTGCATAGATGAGCACCGCCGAAAGAATAATACCGACCGCTTTTCTCTACTGCGCACCATGTTAACCGACTTGGCTGTGCCGTTCGTAGTATTTGCCGAAAAAAATCGACGGATACATGGTTCTTGTATAGCCGCAACCTGCGTTGAATGCCCCGTACGTGGATATACTCCAAGGAGTCGCACAGGGCTGTACGATGTCACCCACTCTTTTAAATATTTACATCAACGATTTGATAAGGGCGGTTGAAGCAGTAAGACAGGGAGTCCAAGTAGGGGGAAAGAGTGTGTCCGGACTGATGTTTGCAGATGATTTCGTGGGGGTATCCGAAACACCAGAAGGGTTGCAAGAACAAATAGATGCGGCGGTAGGATACACCCGAAAATGGAGACTGTCGGCGAACGTAGGAAAATGCGCAGTAGTGGTCTGTAACGAAGACAAGAAAAATCCCGTAGAATTCAAATGGAAATGGGGGGAGGAAGAACTACCGGTAGTAGACAAGTATACGTACCTGGGAGTAGAGATTTCGAAGGAGTGCTCATGGGACGCACACATAGTAAAGTTGATTGGGAAGGGTAAAGCTCAGATAGGCAAGATGGACGAGATCCTTACCCAAACCTAGACACTAGGATTAAGAGGCGTATTCTCTTGAATGTGATTGTACCTAAGCTAGAATATGCAGGAGAGGTATGGGAAGGTAACGAAAAGGCCGTCAAGCAGCTGGAAACGGTGCAGATGGCAGCGGCCAAGAACATACTAGAATGTTCAAGTACAGCGAGCAACACTGTATTGAGAGCAGAATTGGGAATGTACTCTCTTAAAACAAAGAGAGACATGCAGAAGTTGAATTGGCAGTACAAGGTAAGTAGAATGTCGGACGATAGACTACCAGCCATGGTTGACAAGGCAGCTTGGGGAAAAGCGACTCCAGGGAAGAAGGGAATCAGATGGGACAAGGTGGTAGAGAAGGTTTGGAAGGAGATAGGAGACGAGGAGGAGACGTTGGACACGGAAGGGTTCGGGGGGTTCAAGACGAAAGTCAAGAAGATGCTAGAAAGTAGGGGGGAGGCAACCCTTCGGAAGAAGGTACGAAGCGAAGACCACTTGGAGATATACGGGAAGTTGAAAGAAGGGATAGGGATGAAGACGTACTTGGACGGCCCCATGGACTACGCGAAAAAGCTGAAATTGCAATTTCGAGTAGGCGATCTGGACCTGCCAGAACGGAGGAAGAGGTATACCAGCCGTAGGAGAGAGGAAGAGGAGGATAGACACACATGTCCATGTGGTAAATCGGAGGAGAGTAGACCCCACATAGTTGGGGAGTGTGAGTTGTACAGGAAGGAAAGAGAGGATCTCGAGGAGGAAATGAGACAGAGAGGGTGTGACATGGACAAGTTTGGTAAATAGACAACAGCGAAAAAACGATCGCGATAATTGGGGATAGATGGTGGGCACAAGAGGCCCTAGAGGACGGGGATAAGATGTGCAAGAATTTTTATGTAGTTTGTGGCAGAAACGTAAAGAGCTCCCAAATGTTGGTGGTGTCTCTAGTAGGGGTAGGAACGGTGCTCCGTCTCGAAAGGGACGCGTGGTCAATGGTCAAATGACTAAGGCAAGCAACAAATCAGTACGCCCCCCCCCCCCCCCGAAACCGCCCTCCATAATCCCAAAAGGGGCCCCCCATAAATGGCTTAAATTTGCCGTTTTTAAAAACGTAATCCTACCCCCCCCTGAAATACCCCCGAAAAATTTAAAAAGGAAAAAAAAAAATAGTTTGAAAGCTCCAGGGGGCGCAAAATAAAACAGTGAAAATTATTTTAAATGCTCCCAGCGCCCAAATAAAGTAACCCTCAGGGGAAAAATGGGAAACCCAACCCCACCATTGGGAAAAAAAACCCAGGGGGGTAAAATGGGGGGATCCCATGTGCCAAATGGGAAAAGAGAGGTTTCCCAAAAAAAACTGGGGGGGAAAATGGGAAACCCAAAAAAAAGGGAAAAAACCCCCCGAAAGGGTCCACCTTTTAAATTAACTATGGAAAGAGTTT